GGGTTGCAGCGGGATAACTTCACCATCTTCACCACCGTCCACCATATTCAGGTTTGTTTGTGTTGAATCAATAAAAGTGTCCGGCGCTACACCATAGAATGGATTTGGCCAAGAAGCAACGTCGTATTCAACCTGGGGTTCAGGCATAAGATCCGCCATAAGAGCTAAAATGGACCCAAACTCCGAATTGAGGGTATTCTGCCAGCTAGTTCAGACACGCATGAACGATAAGAGAACACAACGGAACTCACAGTGAAATTGGCCTCATTAAATAGCTCAGAAGACGACCCAGCAATAAACGCAGATTGATCATAGTTGGTGACACAGATACTGTTATTTGTCGTTCCCAAATATTTGGTTGGCACGAATGCAGAAAGCTGCGGGTCAAAAGAACCCGTTTCAACTATTCAGATACGTTCAGGGCCCAGGAACACAAAACTGTGACCTTTTACTCACAGACATTGAACTCAATTATGGGATTAGTTAAGGGGATGTAGTCTTCAGCAATTATCTCCGATGAGTTCTGACCCGGAGCTTGAAGGTCTGCGGTCACAATTGGGAATGGTATTAAATAGGACGCGAATGAGGTCCTTTAACCAAGATCAGCCAACGAACTCGCCAGATTGGGAGCGAACTCACGTGTTTGCAACAGCAGACCATAATATACCAGCACCATGGGTGTACGACTCGTTAAAGATATTAGACGAGAAGGTACCATTGGCAAAATGTCTGGCTAGCATGCGCCCCCAATAGTCCGCAAATGTCACCACATAACCAGCGTCGTACTTTCCGAGCAACTCATCTGCAAGGTTCGTATAATATTGCGTATCTGTGACGGAGTTCGTGCTTGGCGTTATAATATCATAGTCAGCGTTCCATCCTCCCCACGAACTGTTGGACACTGTTGGACTAGCGGGCCCAAACATGAGTTCTTGCATGGTAGGGAAATTGGCTTGAGCAAGGGATGTGATGAACCACGATGAGCCTGACAATCCTGACAGATAGGTTGCTGCCTGGAGCAACCCGCCTGTTCCAGCAGCATCGGAAGATGAATTCCGCGCATCCAGTGCGTTCAACACTCCTGCACCAAAGATTGCAGCCCTGTACCCTCCTCCACTCGTTGCAATGCCTAGAGTTGGGATCTCGGAACTAGCGCCCGAAAGAATTCCTGAGACGTAATCAGGGAGAAAAGGATTGGTAGATAAGACATTTGATAGGTAAGTTTTCCAGGCTTGCGGAAGGACATTGGCCTTGCGATTTTGAATGTAGGAGGCTTCAGATGAACTGAGGGTCTGATTCCCAGGAGCACCAGCCATCCGCACCAGGTTAAAGCCTGCAGGACATCGCCCAGCAATAGGTGTGTACGCCTGAGATGCCACGGTCTGAGCCATGGCGAATGTGTTTAGCCATAATAAGAGGGCAAGCAAGATAGCAAAGCGATTTCGCAGCATGGTCGGATACGCGACTAGGGAATGCTAATTTTCGTCGTTTGAGCCAGATTCGATACCTCGAGTAAAGAGTTGCATACGAGGCCCTTTAAATTATCAGGACGCAGAATACACGTTTCGGTGAACCTCCGGACTATTGCTGCGTATTACGCGTGAGACTAGCAGCTCCGAATTAAACACTCGGAGCGTCTTGAGCTCGTGAGGCTCCCTGTAGTTCAGGACCCGAACTAATGGCGAACCAGCACGGTCTCACCAGTTCGCCTTCGCCGTGCTCAACGCCACCGATGTTCTGAAGGAGCACTTGTACGATGTTGAATGGTTCGAACAAAGCCCTTCATTCCAGGGTAGTCGATCTCTTAGACTTGCTGTGAACCTCTCTAAAATCAAAGAAACAGGGCCCTCTCTGTAATTGTCGCACGCCGCCTCGTCCAGCAGATAAGTTACTGATGCATAATTACAAGCTTCTGGACAAAAATATAACTTACCTGAGAGGCAGCCAAAACTAGTACTAGTACTCAACGTTCGAACCTAGAAATAAATGCGTATTACATCCGCTTCCCAACAAGAGAAGTAATTGGATATGACACCGAACACGTTCGTTTTACTTCAACGAGCGCCTGTTTGCCATAAAGTTGGTTAAGAAACGAAACAGTGGTGGGAAGAAAGCGAGGCCTCCCATGTGAATGCATGAGCGTTTATTTAAGACGGTAGTTGAACGTGCGATGATGATCACGCGGTATTAGCAGTTGAAAGCAGTATGCGCACTGCGTGTGAGCTCCATAAGGCTCCATAGCTTGTCGGAGTATCAAAATGTTTGAATTTGATTTGAGGGTGAGGTAATAACAAAGATGGCAATCCACCCGGGCCCGAGCCCATGCCCTCATCATAATAAGTACACGGACATTATCGACAGACAGAAACATGGTTACAACAATGCCAAGACTGTCGGGCGTCAGGCTTTCTGTACAGTTGATTGTTGGAAAACACAAATTTAAATGTACGGACTATAACGACTTGTGTAACTTCCATGCGTGAACTAAAGTACGACAATGCCTAGGGATAACTTTGACAGGTCTACATGTGTTGTGTTGATTAAATGCGAGTGATAGAGAAGGCTAGGAGCTCACTCATCTCGGCAATTCCGCCAGTGTTATACCGATCAGATCAAGCTCGACACGTTCTCTGTCGAGAGGAAGGGCTCATTCATCCGGAATTTCCATAACAACAGATTCGATTATCCTGAGGGGTCTATGGTATGTGTCCTGGAAATTACATGCAGGCTCGAGATTCGCTGGTGCATCTTGGGCTATGGATGCGACAGATGTCACAGGGTGGATTCATACGCTCTGTAGCTTATCTGGCAACAAAATGTGCCTGTTGGGGATCAGCACCATTTTCGACGCCTGACCCACCCGGTTATTCAGAGCTCATGAGTCACTTTCACAGTGGTCGGCCTTCGGGAGAAGAGGGTCACGCCTTCGAGCGCTTTTGGACGATCTCAGCCTTATCCCAGGACACTAATTACGCATCTTCATCGACTCACCAAAGTATTCACATTCACACTATTCTTGACCTTCCCCAGAATCCGAAGAATTCTATCATGGGGTCGGCCCTGGATAAAGCATGCGCCAGAATTTTAAGTGATCCTCATGAACAACTTATCGAGCTTCCACCAGCGATTGCCTCGCTAGATTTGCTGACTTCTGTAAAATAAACTGGTTTCGAATCCCTCGATTGGTTGTCTTCGCTCATTGAAAATAGCTGTCACTGGTGGATAAGTTTGAGCGAAGCAGGATACGAGAAGTAGTTGGGAACAGTGAGTTCTGCGTCGTTTGAATAACTGCCCACACCCAGCGCAAAAGCAGCGCCGATGTGTTATTTCAGGCGCCAACAAACATTCGGTGGCTGACATTAACTTGGAGGAGGCACCTTGTTGATTGAAGAGCGCGTCACGGACCCAGATCAAGCATACCACCATGGTCTTAGTCCTCACGAGCAAGGCTCAGCAAGCAGACGTCTCGTCATTGTATGATGTTGCAGTATTCCGGAAGAGCAACGGAACCCCAAGCAGGGCCACCAGAAATACAGGGAGTTGTACTTGCAGAGCAGGTCGGTGAAGCAGGCTTTAGAGACCACAAGAGATGACCTAAACATAACAAAGGAGTAGACCAGAAGTTATCGGAACAACGACAAACCCAACGCGATCAACCAGATCAAATTTTGCGCGACGACAGAAACAGAGGGACTCCAGTTGGCCTTCATCACAGCAACCTGAATGACGAATTAGCGTGATATTCGAAAAGTGTCCGATAAGGCAGAAGACAGTCAAACACAATTCGAAGTTTGAACCGAATCAGATCAACGTAAACAAGACACTTTGTTCATGCATGCATGTACTAATCATGATGATGCCATCGTCATCATCCGCTGATCGACTCGGACGCATGTACAAAGTGTCCTAAGTCTAAATATTGTAAATCGTGATGCATGATGATTAGTACATGCATGCATGTTAAAGTGTCCGAGTCTGTTTACGTCTAATTTTGTCGGTAAGCTGCGTCGGACTTGTAAAATGTCTCAACGTCGTTACTCACGACGTCGATAAGCTCGTCGTCCTCAACAATCACTTCCTTTGCAAATAAAAATCATGCGTCAGTCTGTTGCTCCGAGTCGCATTTCACATGCTGCATCCCTAGCATCGCAGGCCAATAATGCAACAGCAACATCACGCTTACTGGAGAAAAAGAAAGAGTTTGAGGCCGTTGCTGCCCTTGAACGCGCTAGTGCGCTGTTCCTTAAGCGCATCGAGGGTCTTGCAGATGATTGCGAAGTTATGGCTGATGCTGGCCAAGGTTTCTTCTTCTCATCCTGATCCTTTTCCATCATTAATATTCTCGAACAGTACATGGTCAGGTGCTCGAACAATGGCCTCTCATGTTCCAGAGTTTGAGTTTGTTCTGTGAGTAAAGTTACGACCACACTAGCTTGTGATCTGATTATTCTGCAGTGAACAGCCGGGAACAGCACTTGTCAGACCCCGGTGACGCCACCGTATCACTTACCGGAGAACGGCTTGTTCGTGTTCCGCTTGACGAGCTCCAAGCTGATGCGTCGAAGTAAACTCAACTGCGTATTACTGCGTCTACTTCGATATACATATCCTTGATGCCATGTCGCATCTCTACCCTGCCCTTTCCCAGAATCATCGGGCCCCGCCCATCTACATCTGCGACGACCACAATGCAGTCGATAACGACCCTCCATTCTGCCAATGGATTCTGCTCTTCATTTGCAGTACAGATGAAACCTTTACGCCACGAGGGCACGTGTCAGCAAGGGTGGATACAACATGGCGGTTTCAAGCATGGTAACAGCGTATTAGACTTTCATGGGCACCTTGAACCTGTGAAGCGGACGTTACACTTACAGAACAGACATCATATACGTTGTTTCCTGTACTAGTACTCGTAGCATTACTATCAATTCAAAGTATGCGGCGTTTGGACTTCCACGGAGGAATACTCGTGTATCATACGTGTCAAAATGAATGTTTGCACCGGTGGCAGTACTTACTGCTGTCTGCGTTGCGGCAGACTCGTTCTTTCCGTGATCACTTCCACTCGACTATTCCGTATAACTTGAGGGTTTTATGGACTATCTTCGCAGCTTCGGCTCTGCTGCAGTTTCGACTCTTGTCCAGAAATCGGGGCTAAATCTACCGTTCTCGCTAGGTGCCAAAGTTTACTCCTGCGAGACTTTCTGGACCTTGTACGACGCTACCAAACGGGTAGGTTCGCAATTATCACCACGGTCCGAGTTGTGTCCAGGCTAATCTACAAGGCAGGAAGATGGTAGTCTGGTCTCGGTTTTCGAGTATGATCTAACCCACCCTCTGAACAAGTCCACCATACCCCTCGCCCGCAACTCCCTCCGCAAGCTACGCACCATACGACATCCAGACGTACTTAGATACATCGATGTCGTAGAATCCGACTCAGCCATTTGCATCATGACCGAAAGGGTTCGCCCTCTACACCTCGCGCTATCCCAATCATCCTCTAATGTTCCACGTGAGCGAGAGGACTGGCTGATTTGGGGGCTACACCGAATTTCAGTCAGAATTGTTCTTCTCGTCTGCGTTCAGGCCTTAATTACTGACCTTCTGAGCCAGGTTGCTCTTGCTTTTCTCAACGATTCCGCTTCCTCGACCCACGGAAACGCTCGTCCAAATGCTATATTTATCACTCCTTCAGGAGAGTGGAAGTTGGGAGGCTTCGAGGTGTTGAGCAATCCAAAAGACGATCTTTCTGTCATATATGTGAGTCTTTTTCTTAAGTGTCTCGTGCGTCTCCCCATAAACATTCCTTTACAGACCATGGGCGGCCTCATGCCAGACGCAATGGCATGCGCGCCCCCGGAAGTCAAGAAAGAGGGTTGGTCTGCCCTCAAAGAGTGAGTTTTCAGTTTCCGACACTCACAATATCATGCAGCCACCTTTCTAATGAATGGACAGCGTACCAGTATCAGCTGCGGACGGATACGCTCTCGGTCTACTTTTACACGCTGTCTTCAATCCCACTCACCCACCACTACCAACTGCTCAGCCTCCTCATCCACCACCTCAAGTTTCTTCCAGGGGTGCCATACCCCTGTCCGTCTTTCCCTCCTTCAAAAAACTCCTTAACCCGAATGCAAAATCACGGATGTCGCCCAAAAACCTACTAGACATTGGTATGGCAGAGTCGGGCGGAGAAGGACATGGATTTTTCGTACATAACCGGCTTGTCAAGGTCTGCGCTGGACTGGACGGATTCACCCTCAGTAGTGAATCTGATAAGGCATCTTTACTACGGTATGTGTTACTTTTCAGACGCCCACCATTTACTCAGTGGCTTGGACTAGCACGCTAAAGGAATCCGCATCTTCATTTCCCCCCGAATTCGTCTCTTATCGTATTCTCCCATGCCTTGCCTCTGCGCTTGAGTTCGGTGGTGCCTCTGCAGCAACCATCGTCCCTCTCGTCCTCCAATTCGGAAAGAACGTTGCACCCGATGACTATGGCTCAGTAGTCGTGGCACCCCTCGTCAAACTTTTTGCGAGTGCTGACCGTGGCACACGCATTGCGCTTCTCGATAGTCTCCCCGAGTTTGTCGAGAAACTGGATAAGAAAACAGTTGTTGATAAAATTTGGCCAAACCTGGTATGAATAATGTTCATGTTTCATCTATTCTTACACGGCAATTCATTTCATCTTCATCCGCGCAGCAAACTGGCTTTACTGACACTGTTGCTGTCATTCGAGAAGCTACTGTCCGCGCTATCGTTCTACTTTCCCCCAAGGTATGTTGACTTTAAGGTGTGACCAATGTCGCTAATGATGATTTCTCAAGTTATCCGACCGTATACTCAACAACGACCTCCTCCGCCATCTCGCCCGCCTCCAATCGGACCCAGAAGCTTCCATCCGGACCAATACATGTATTCTTATCGGCCGGCTGGGTCCTTCGCTAGGATATAATACCAAACGAAAAGTTCTCGTTCCTGCATTTAGCATGTCGCTGAGGGATTCGTTCGTCCATGCTCGCGTGGCAGGCGTTATGGCATTTATGGCAACCGCGGAGTGCTTCGAGATTGAGGACGTGGCCAGTAAAGTTGTTCCAGCTATCCTAGGCGCTACGCTGGATAAAGAAAAGTGAGTCTACAGCTCTCGTTCTACTACTTTGATGTATGTTGATGGCTGAATATGTACAGACTGGTTCGTGATCAGGCATTCAAAGCTGTCGAGCTTTTTGTCAAGCGTTTAGAAGCCCACGCTTCGACTATGGTACGTCTGTAGTACACAACCCAGTTTGTATTACTCATACCCCTTTTTCACAGCCAGAGACAGCATCCACAGAAGATGGCGGGGACGATCTACCCGCGAGGCTTCCAGGTGCATACACACAGGCTGGACTTGTAAACTCAGCGACGGGCGCTGCAGCCGCTCTCACAGGGTGGGCTGTATCGTCCCTTGGCAAAAAGGCACGTTTGATTTGTTTTTCTTGATATCGATGGCTTACAAAAATCTATCGCTCAGCTTGCCCCTGCTGACATGCAAACCACGATCTCAAGTACCATCGAAGGATCAACACTAACACCAACCATCAATGGTAGCGCCAATCATTTGCCTGTGACACCTGTTTCTCCCTCCGCAAATCCAGTAAGAAGCAAAGGTCTACAACTGGGCGGGAATAAAGCCCCAACTTCTACGCTCGCTGACGAGGTTGCCAACGAGGCAGGGCAGGGTCGTTCATGGAATGACGATTTGATCGACATTAATGCCGATGAAGGAGATTGGAGTACGTCCTTTGACCTTTCGAGATATCACTGGATCCAAACTGAGGTCATTTTTATTTGTAGGCGCATTCGAGAGTGCTCCACCTGCTGTAGAATCAAAACTAGCAAGTACGACCGATGGTCTAGGATTCGGTATATCGCTGCGGCCCAGTTCTCCAAGTATGTATTGCTTCCTTCTCCATAATGTCCCTGCTGATTTATCTGATACAGTTCCAGACGAATGGGGTGCAATGGCATCATCGTCTCGACCTACAAGTCGCTCGTCTACATCACGTCCCTCCCAGATCTCACGCACGCTCTCACCACAACCCCGCAGGTCCATCGTGCCTTCCCCTCTCGCACCAGCGTTCTCACCCGCTTCAAGCACTCGATCAACACCCATATCATCCCCTCGACCTCTCCCAAATACTGCTGACAACACACCGCCGACTAGTATGGCTGGGATGTCGAAGGAGGAGAAGGCGGCTGAGATGGCCAGGAGGAAGGAGGAGAGACGGTTGGTGAGTGTTTTGTCACTTTGTTTGGAGATGTTGCGGCTTATACTTATTGACTTTTTGCAGCGGATTGAGAAGCTGAAGGAACAGAAAAAGAACGCTGCTGCTGCCGGAAAGGTTTGAGTATGATAACGTTGTGAACACTCGTGCTTATGCGATGATGCACGGAGTGACTGGGAGACTTTATTTGACCACGACATGATCATCATTTTATAGTGTGAACCACCTGCATCTGGGATACGGCATATGTCCGGCGAGTTCCTTCATCATGCGCATTGTCGCCGAGCTAGGATCCAGTATTTAATGCTAAGGGCGCACAGTATATCCTTCAGAACATTAAATACTCAATTAGTACTACCACTCTACTGCACATCTATAAGTTGTCTGATGATCTCTACGCCAAATCTACTACAGCGAGTACATTCCTTCCTGCTTGACCCCGCTTCCTGTAACAGATTCTACCCAAATAACCGTTGAATGCCAATTTGACATTCCACGTCATTCTCAAATACGAGGGGAACGACTCTGTCGCTTCAACCTCTTTGATATCGACCCCTGGCCCAACAATGCCCGAACAGGGCTTATCCATACCGCTAGCGTCGATCGTAAACCCATAGAACTCTGTTCCATCCCTTTCGTTATGAAGTACGCAGATACCACGTGCATGCCCGTCAAAAGACGTGGTAAACTTCATGGTGTTAGCATAGCCTGGAACAGAGAAAAGCTGGTCGGTGGAGAGAGATATATTCCCCAGTTTCTGCCCTGGCAGAGGAGGGGATAAAGTTACTCGGTGAGCAAAGTACTTCGTCAAATTGAGTCTCATGCAATGGGTGAGGAATTTGATTTGGGTTTGTCCTGTGACAGCGCTGGTCATAGAGTCGCATAAGAGCGAGACTCGTTCGATATCGAGATAGCAATGTCCTTCGTGAGTGAGTTCAAGAGTAGGTGGGGATGCGCTGGTAATTCCCGCCGACGGGAGAGCGAATGCCTGGATGATCGCACGGCAGTTTCCTCCTTCGTCGAGCTGGCTGACCATAGTGAGAGGGGTAAACATTGCGAGAATGTGGGTTTCGGTAGCTATGAGACGCTTTAGGTATGTCTCCTGCGCGCAAGTGACGTCGAATTTGGGGTCCTATATTTCATGATGAGACGCGTACGACGTCCAAATACTTGATACGTACGATGATAGAGCTTGGTAGCGGAAAGCGGTACAGGACGCGGGTGTGAGTATCCACCGCCAAATTCAAAGTCCCAGTCAAATGATCGCTCATGCACAGCAAGCGCTTCCCAGCAGATAGCTGCGACATTCCCATGCCGATCACATCGCCAGGAATCACCATGGAGAATTCCAATAAAGGACCGTCAGAAGAGAAACGAATGGAGAGTAGTTTACTATCAAAAAGTCGTTCAGTGTATGAATGCGATAGTCGGGAGCAACTACTAACTGTGAGAACGACACGCTGCTGCGAGCGCTTTCCATGACGATGGCGTGCATGATACATCCTCCGTCCGCTGCCTCAGAAGTCGCGCTTTTGAACGATAGTATCTGAGCGCCATCAGCGTGATATATGATGTGGCGCAGTCCGCGCTCCAGATCGTAGCACAGGATGTCAGGGCCGCTAATGTGCGGGATGACAAGCCACAAGCCAGCCACCACTTCCCAATGGTCTCCTTGCAAGGCAGACCACTCAGGCTCAAACCAAGTCGCCTTGGAAGTTATCGTTAAAGCTTGCTTGTTCCACTTGACGCCGACTTGAGTGCTTTTGACAAGGGTGGTCTCTAAGAAATCGCGAGACTGAGAGTCGAGTGGTCCGAGGGGACGAGGAAGTTTTGCATGTTTATATGCATCGTGCCATATGGCCGTGTGGAATGTCAAGTCGCGAAGGTCTTTGCACGCCTACATCAATCATTACAAACACATTCAGTATGAATCAATATGAAGGGATATGATCCGCAAACGATGAGCAGTAGTTTCTCACCAGTCGAAGGCAGATGATTTCGCGGACGGAAAGAAAGGACAGGACACGGTACAAAACATCGTGTGGAAGACTGGTTAGCGTCATGGTCGGTGCTCAAAGATACGTTATAAGCGCGCCAAGTCCACGGCATGATGCATCAGGTCAACAGATGGAAGCGAACAAGTGCCTATTCGCTAGTGGTATTGGCTTTCGTCAATGTTTGCATTGCGTTGTGAGCACCAAATTCGAAATTCAAGCTCAAGCGGCAAGCTGCGATCCGACTCGATCATGATCTGGAATAGTCTGCTCGATACAACTATAACAGTTCTTCAACAACCCGCATTCAAGAATGATCTTAGTTTGATTGTGTGTATTATGCGGCCCATCAGTCGCGTTTGCGTCCACAGCTTGATCAGTCGAACTGACTCAGTGCTCGACCTCAAGCACAATCCATAAGTCGACTTCCCATGCCCGTGACTACTACGACAAATCTTTGAGCTGTTCCTTCGACCGTTTCCTTCCGTTTCCCGGAGTTCCCTGGCGCCCACCCTTAATGCTTAGCGCCTGAAGCCAATACAGCAGTAAATATTGCCATGAGGCTTGCGGTCAATTGCTGTGTATGTATGGCATGAGGCCCACCCTTTCTTCAACTTCTTGTCGCACTCAGGCTCTGCTTTGCACAGATTGATCATCAAACTCGACTATTCACCATGAGCGACCAGAATCAATTGGGGGACTCACGGTCGGGTCCTCCACACATCAAGACACCCAACGAACCAAACGCTACGGAACGCCCGGTATGTGGCTGATTATCATCAAGTTGCACTCGAAACGCTGACTCTTGTCAACGTATTCCTTGTCTAGGGCCGATCCCGTGGCAAAATAAGTCAGTTTCTGGGGAAGGTCACGAATGGTGCGATAAAAAAGGTTTCAGTGAGTCGTAATCTAGAGTGAGTGCACTGGGATAATGCTGATATCGTACGCAAGCGCTCGAACTTGAAGGATTCACGCAGCCGCGACCCTGTTCTCCCGAACGTCGATCGTGAAGGTGTCTCATCAATTACAAATATTGAGGTAGGTTAGCTTTCAGTTTATGCACTCTCCGTGAGTTTTGTTGTTTACCAGGTTCAGGATGGGGCCCCTGGTGCAAAACAAGGCGCCGATCCCCAATCGGCACTTCGAGAGGCCAACGAAGCTGTCAAAGGCATGAATCTACTTTCAGGACCTGTGACATCTGGACTTTCCGCCGCGCAAAATGCATCAGCAGATCTCGAGGATGCATGTGAATTCGGGGACACATATCTTCGGCCTCTCAAGATATTCGACAGCGTTATTGAGAAGCTTGCGGATGTATGGGCTCAGTTCTCTCGGTTGGAACCGAACTGATCCCTCTGCATAGGTGCACCCTTACGCAAATATGGCACTGGGCCTACTGTCTTCTGCATCCAAAGTACGTATTGTTTCACTCCGAGTCTTATATCATGCTCAGCCGTCATCCATGCAGATAGTTCTCGCTTAAACTGATCGAGACCAAGGGATACTCCGGCTTTTGGAGAAGTTAGGTCAAGTGTACGATTTCATGATGCAAGACGAGACTCTTGGCGGAATTCGGTCGATGCAGGGGATCGTTGGACGAATAGTTAAGCAGACTCTTGAGTGCTCCCAGTTCATCAAGGATTACTCTGCGACAAAAAACTTCTGTGAGGAATCCAAAAATTATTATGCTTTAATCACTCGCTCATTATCTATCTCTTATGCGATCGAGAGACGCAGATAGGCACCTTCAAAATGAGCACGCAGTATAAGGAGCTTGTGTCATCAACGATCACGCATGTAGACTTGCACATCGAGCACATCGAAGAAGTGGTCAAGAAATACCTACAATATGCCATGCTATCACACAGGTGGGAAGGGAGGGAGCCGCTGCTGCAGGATATCCAGGGCAAGTGTGTGTACGACTCGGAGTTGGATCCAGTTGGCGGCATGACGAAGCTGCGGTCGTTCTGCAAAACTGCTCGTGATGCGGGGTATAACTGGGCATGGAGCGATACATGCTGCATCGACAAGAGCAGTAATGTCGAAGTCCAAGAATCGGTTAACTCCATGTTCGTATGGTATCATCATTCCGCGCTCACGATCGTCTACCTGTCTGATGTTCCGCCTTCGTCAAAGTCTGGCGGACTGGCAAAGAGCGCTTGGAACACGCGCGGATGGACGTTTCAGGAGTTCGTCGCTCCCAAAGTTATTCTCTTTTATCAGAACAATTGGACTCTTTATCGTAATGATCATACTCCCAACCACAAGGATTCCATCGCAATCATGCAGGAGATAAAGGACGCGACGGGTATAGACCGACCAGCCGTTGTGGCCTTCCGTCCCAGTATGCATAACGCGCGAGAAAAACTTCATTGGGCGTCAACCCGCGTTACCACTCGTCAGGAAGACATCGCATACTCGTTGTTTGGCGTCCTTGACGTCCGCCTGCGTGTAGATTATGGTGAGAAGCAGGACAAGGCTCTCGGGCGGCTCCTGCAGGAGATCGTGGCTCGGTCGGGCGATATCAGTAGCCTTGATTGGGTCGGAACACCATCAGAGTTCAACAGCTGTCTACCAGCCTCCATCACTTCATACGAAGCTCCACCATGCCAGCTACCACCCCTACCCGAGGAAGAAATTCAGCCATCGGTTTCTTCGCTGCGAAAGACGGCGGCTGCTGATTTCGCTTCGGACCTTTATACCCTGCTTCGGAACACGAGCGCCCCTCGCTTCGCAGCACAGAGACTGCATCTACCTTGTCTTGCATTCAATGTCACGGAAGTCAGACGCCGGATGGGTAGTCTAACCCCGGAAAGTCATCTCACGTATGAAGTGAAGACAGACGGACTTCACGATTTACTTATCACCACCGCAGAGACCCTGGTTCAGTTCTGGCCGGCAAGGCCCACTGAGCGAAAATTTGTCGTTATCCGTCCCTGGGATCGGTCTCTCCTGGAGCTACCTGGATTTTCAACACCATCTAACTATAAAAACAATGCGGAGAGTGAGGAGGATTATGGAACGCCACCTTCTCCATCAGACGACTGGTCTGGTGGTTCTCCTGTAAAACAGGGGATGCCTGACCTAATACAATCACGAGCATTGCGGTTGCTTGTTCGCCTTGGACAGCCTTTTGGCGCATTTTTGCTGGCGCAGCAGCGCAGTGGAGAATACAAGAGGATCGCGACGGATTATGATATCATTGGACAAATCCAGGACGTGGTTTCTGTTGGAGACTTGATGGACATCAGGACCATAGAAATATTGTAGTCGTATGTTTTCGTTTTGGACCTTTGAACGTTTCGCATCTGTACTTTAGAGATGATACCACACACGCATGTTAGATGTGATTTCCGCACACAGGTAGTACTAGCAGCTCGAGCAAAGCTCGGGTATAAATTATGCCGTCGCTTACCTATCATTTCGTGCAACCCTAGGCTGTTCGTCCTCAAAAAATCCTCAGAGGGTGGGACCACGACAAGTTAACAGTGATCCGCAAATTGGTATCATTACATCTTTCGATGCTCTATGACCCTTTCATTCTTCGCGGTCCAAAAATCGTGCATTGGCAACATAAATTACCGACATAATGAATATCAGACCAGGACAGAGTGTATACCTATCATCCCAAAGTTCCTCTCTACTCATATCGACCCAAGCGCAATTGTATGCATATGCGATAGTATTGCATTCGAATTTATGGCCATTTGAGCAATGACGTGTTAAAAAGGCGACAGGCGACAGATTTTTGAGACCATGGAGCAATGACAGGGCAACGAATAATCTGCACAGAGATGCGGTCGAGCGGAACCGATGGAGAGAAGTGTGTTGAAGGCGCCTCCGAAAGTGGAGTGAAGGAACTGAAGAAGATTGCGCCAGCAGCGGGGAAGTGTTTGGATATTGCAGGTTCATTCATGGCCTCGGGTTGCACCCAGCACACATGGGTTTATGTAAATGCTGAGAGAACTGAATCGATCGTTGGTTCATTGGGTACAATACAATATGTGTTATGGTAACAAGAAGAGTACGATGAGAATGACGGGTGTAAGAATATGGAGACTTGACTCGGAAGGGAGGAAGGAATTGCAAAATCTGGAGGAATTATACGAGCACCTGGCACGGTGAGAGGTGTTTTTATCGAGGAGTCCAATTTGAATTTCGATCGGACAACTAGCGATAGGAGATTCTTTGCGGTAATTGTCGCTGGCACATTTGGGCGGGTGTAGAAGTCCCCGACTCCACAAATTTAGTGGAAGAGGGTTCTTGATTGCAACAAACGGCCATTTCTCTGCAAACGCATGCCTGCGAACTTATTTCCTGTTTTACATCCGTGCGAATCGATTAGCTCAGCTGGAACTGCACAGTTTCTTCGTTCAGTTTGCCTCATTTTGATCCGGTCATCTCATCTCTTTTCGCCTCTCTACTCAGCCCGACCTCAACATCTGGTAGATGATGGGAGATGATATCGTCAAAGAAATCAAAGAACCTTTTCTGATAACCCTCGTCGTGTAGCTTGGCATGTAGTTCAGAAGGATTGGCTGCGCCCATCTAACCACAGGAGGTAGTGACCATGCGAAGAGCCACGTTCAGTATAATGCTCATCACACACTGACATCTTATATATCTTTGCCAAGTGTTCGATCCGCTCAGCGCGCAGCTTGGGCCTGATTCACATCCAGTAAACATGGCAGTAGTTTTAGAAAGGAAGGATGATTCCCACACATGGCCCGGGGCATTTGGCAGTAGGACGCTAAGTGGCGAAAAAGACAGCGAGTTTGGGCACTTGAGCTGGCGCAAGCAGCTTATAGAAAGAACGGAGGGTAATGAGCCTGACGTGGGGCTTGAGATGGAAGAATTTTTGGGGAAGAAGAATGGACAGTGAATGCAAATGTGTTCTCATGATTTTATACGTGGGAATAAATTACCAAAACAATTGGAAGAAATCAACGAATTAACAAATGACCTCGAATGTGTCACAGCCCGTCTTGTAAAGATCAGTATAAGGGGCTTCAACTTTGGCCAGACAGCTGCAAGCCAAGGATTGATGGGATAAATGATAAATATTTATTGGAGTGATGACAACTGGCCATATTTAAAATCAGGGAGTCGGGGAATTGGTGCGCACGCACCGTTACCGATTGATAAGTTAAAGAAACACAAAGTACTAGGTCGCGCTAAACTTAATACCAGTCGTCGTGGGAATATGAAGAAATGGTGCATGGCCCACCCGTGACCCCATACTACTACATACCTCGTCTCTGCTGTTGTGAGTTGCTAGTATTGCCAACAACACCTTTACCATGTCACATACCTCTCCCGCTGAGATCCTCCCTTTACAGTACGACCTGCTGTTCTTACCTCTACAAACTCTTTCCTGCCATAGGGATGCAAAGGTTCTTCCGGTATTGAACGATGAGTTTGTCATCCCGCACACAAGTCTCCATTTTCTGACCTTCGTAATCTTGACTTGATGATCGTTTTGAAGTTTTCTGCTACATTGTCCCTACCTCTAGACTGCTCCATAAGTACAAACTGTAACCGGGAGGCACTCAAACATCGTTCTTTGCCATGATGTAAGTGTTCACCCGTAATCTCCATCATAGCCTTATGTTTTTTGCCATTCAGCACCGCATATCACCTTACCACCTGCCACCACTCCCACCGTTCAAAGCCTGTACACCCTATCTAAGGCTATTGTCCTGGCGCCTGTTCGTGCAACGCAGCATATCGTCCTTTCCTCACACAGGATCAGTTGGTTTGCGCGGCTGGTTCTTTTCGCTCTGTCAGTATGTTTTCTCAGTGAAAGCCTGTAGCTGGTGCTGTCGGCAACGACGGTGACCCGACAAATCTGTCTTCGTCCTTCATAAACCGTGGAGAGCACGGGAGTAGCCGTGTTATCGTTTATGAAGCAATCGTCACTTACTGATCGCAAAATATAATGACTTCGCTCCTGACTCAATTCTTTTTATCGAATTCAGGTCGCCTCATGTCTGAAATAGTATCTTATTCTGTATGATGGTATGCAAGCTAATCATAAACTTCAGACATCCTTTGTTAGATTTGCAAGCGCGTTTCTCCATTGACTGCATGTGTGTCTCTCCATGTGAGCCTCTAGTGAGCTGAATACATTTGTGTATCATGACCTCGCAAGCTTATGTATCGGAGATATTGGCTTCTGCCACTACCGGTGCGCCATCACAATTTACACTGGAACCACTGACATAGTATACTCTGGTTGGTGGCAAATTTATGCGGGCGCTCTATCTATCGACTTGGAGTGTTTATATGGTGGGTTCGTCTGCCGCATCCCTGCAAATGTAAATTGGGTGAATAAATCATCATCATAGTCGGACTGATGTTCGCAGAACCGTACCAAAATGACTCGTAGAGTGTGCCTAGCACATGAGGCCTTCAAGAAAAAATCATGTCACGGTGCCGCGTAAGCTGGGATCTGTTTCATCATGCAAGCACATGCAGATCGTTTGGCTCAGGCGCCATATACTATTCGTGTATAAAAGCGAACCAGAAAACACTATCAAGTTTCACCTATGAAGTTCACTTCGCTCACCGCTGTAATAACCACTGCTGTATCTATGCCAGCTGGCATGATTAGCGCATCCAACCCCGCGAACCTGCCCTGCGACCGACCTGGTAAGCACATCTACATGCAAATCTTAAACCATATGCTTATGGCCATCCACCAATAAAGTGGGGTGCTCGATGGGCATCAAATATTCCAACAATGGCAAGGATTCCGGGTATACCTGCAGAACTGACGGCTTCATGAACAACACCTTGCTATACTTGTGCCAAAATTGCTGTCACTTTATCAACAATAGGAAAGGCGTCATCTGTTCATGAGCTCCTGACTTTCCTTGACGGCACCAGTGTCCGGGTGAGCCTGTCTTTTCTCGTTGTCTTCCAAGTCTGAGTCGCACGAGGTACGCGACTCCTTAGCTCTACGAACATGTCCTGAATTTGATCCCAAGGCAGCGCAAGCATCGGAACGTGGGATCTGATAATGCTGGGCATTAGTAGGCTCCTCGTTCTCGGGGGTGAGGTTACCCTCATTCAGTTGTATCGTACATCCCCTGGCCAGTCCAGTTGATATGACATCAATACGGCTGCTTACTCCGTGATCATGATCATGGACATCACGATGACAGATTAGGCATAAGATTTCATCCAGGGTAAGTATTCTTCTGAAGCAAACGCTTTACTCCGAACATCCAGTTTGGCACTCCAAGCTACATTGATGCAGTAGTAGCACGCTCGTATCACGACAACTAGTACACAGCCGGAAGTCTTGTCGACCGCAAACAGATGCTCGTTTATTTGATCATCATAGGCCTAATATACATAGTGTCACCCTATGCTAATAATCAATATCAAAAGATCGCTGGCGGTAAATAATGAACTTAGTGCATAGTATGTCGCACCCCATACTGGCCAAAAAATACTAGCCCGTCAGTGCGGACTCAACATTCACCCTCGTGTACTGTACTGTCCATTCCAGTATGCCATAAACATCCACCACAATACTCTTCTGGACTTCAATCAGTGGTAAAAACATACAGCTCGAGCCCCAGACGATCATAAATAAGAATTGGTAGTAGTACGAATCGGGTGTGATGCCTTTTGGTGTAGTGTTTTGATTGTCGAAAGCTACTAGGTATGAGTAGAAGCACGCGGCTTCCGAAGCAGGAACGTCGTTTGAGATCGTCGGCGAGTATTTGACCTGGTGAATGTGTTCAGCTGATAAAGCATAAAGCATAAAATGACGACGCACACGATACCAAAAACAATATTGCATAGCTGCTCAGCGTGTCAGCTAGGAGTCAAGGATGACAACTAAATCAGAAATTTGCTAGAATGAAAAACTGATTGAAGTTAGTTTTGGAGGTGGACTATTTTTGATGCCCGCTTACTATGATGACCACTAAAATGGCGAAAAACCTACATGAAATAAGTCTTCGAGTCACACAGAATAGACCATCAGATGTAGACATGACGTCACTGGTGTTGATGCTATGTATATGATAGGAGGCAGATGAGGGTTCTAAGGGCAACGAGGTGAACCTTCACGTAGAGGTGGACCAACTGACATCCTACCTGTTCATGCCGTTAACTTGCGATGTTTTCGGAGATACATCAACCATCGGTCCATCCAACCCCCATGGTTGGCCGCGAGACCGAAGGACCTGCAGGTATGTGTTGAGGTACGTACGAAGACGCGTTGTCCAAAGATATTCCACATGGGAAAGTATAGACTATTCAAACTACAGTTCAGTAGTTAGATCGTCGAATCCTGAGCCCCAGTGAAAACTGACTATGACGGGAGGAGTCGTCACATGCTTAGAAATGATTTTCCTTTTTAGTTACATGTTGGTATATGCTCATTTATCATAATCCGACTCATTGCATACGTTGTGCTCGTAACGTTGCGTTGCGAAGCGCTAACTTCGTATATTTCCTTAGTCTTTGCTTTGCTTTGCTTCTCCATCGCACTTCGCCAAGCGTGTAGGTTCGTTACGTTGGAGTCTTTGCACTCATAGCCATATTCCAATCTATAGAAAACATGCCTACAAACGAGTCCGCTGAAAATGTCAGTCTCTGTGTGTGCTCGAGATACAACTTCGGGAGGCCACATAGCGTGTCGACAGCAACTTGGCGCCGACATCTACAAGAGGCTCCAGAAGATGAGAGAGAGAGTATTCATCTGCGCAGAGCGCTACCAGAACACATGTCCCTTCTTCCAGCTGACCAAAATCTTCCACTAGACTCCGAGCCTGCAGCACACCGTGTCCCTGATCCTCCTGGTGCTCTGTCTACCAGTAGTGCTCGTCGTACTGCTGCATTGCGGGAACTTGCTAAGCGCGCACGAGTTGATGAGAGTAACAATCATGCTGTCGGACGTCGCAAATGTGCTCGGAATTCTGAGCCATCCACCTCCAACGTTAACAAAAACAATAACACAGACAACGATTTTGAGATGGATGACAATCTGGTACGTTTCTTTGCCTTGTTATGATCTAAATTTTTCAATAGTCATATTACAGTACTATGATGATCAAAACCACCCTCCGGAGCCAGATGCACCTGAGCATAGACCTCCCCCAGTGCCGGATGAACTGAATATGCCTCAAGAACTGGATATGCACCAGCACCACCCTCCGGAACCAGATGCACTCGAGTATAGACCTCCCCCAGTACCGGACGAGCCAGACATCCCCCATCATCTCCCTCCAGAACCAGACTTGCACGAGCACCACCCTCCACAAGAAAATGCGCATCTGCCGCAGTATGAGTTAGAATTTGAGCGAAGAGAACGGCCGCACATTGATGTGGAGGCCCTTGCACGTAGCGCAGTGCTGCCGAAGGTTAAGGAGACAATGGAATTTGTCCTTGCCCTCAAGCAAGCATCCTTGGAGGACCAAAGTGCTAAAATGAGCGATGAAGCGCTCCAACGTCTCCGTAATCCACCTCGTGGCCCCATCGACGTCAATAGTCCTGCCATCCGACACAGTATTTCGACATACCTCGCACTTGAACATGCCTCGCAAGATGCGTATAACCGTATTCGCAGGTCATTGATGCAGAACTTTTCTGGCATTGATGGTGTTGACGACATCTTGAGCTTCCATGCTGTCGAAAAGCTCGTTGCTGCTCACACAGGTGTTGAACCCATAATACATGATATGTGCTCCCAGTCGTGCATGGCATATACTGGACCTTACGCTACGCTCGAACACTGCACTGTGTGTGGTACTTCTCGATGGGATCAAGCCAAGCTTGCAGCCAGCAATGGCCGAAGAAAGGTTGCTGCGCAAAATTTTTCAACCATACCATTAGCCCCCCAATTGCAGGCTCTTTACCGTAATCCAGACAGCGCATGCGACATGCGTTATCTTCACGAGCGCACACAGGAAGTGCTGACAGAGCTTCGGGCAACAGGTACTATTCCTGTCATCGATGACATCGTGATGGGATGGGACTATCTTACTGCAGTGATCGACGGGGATATCAAGGAAGGAGACATTGCTCTCATGGTCTCATTGGATGGTGCGCAACTCTACGAGTCTAAGGAGTCAGACTGCTGGATTTATATGTGGGTTGTTTTAAACCTCTCCCCCAACAAACGATACCGCAAAGTACATGTCCGTCCAGGTGGCTTTATACCTGGACCAAACAAGCCAAAGAATGTCGATTCTTTCCTCTTTGTTGGAATGCACCACCTTGCAGCCATCCAAAACGAAGGCCTTACCGTGTGGGATGCATCCCGTGATGCAACATTTATATCGGACATTCACCTCATATTCACGACGGCTGATGGGCCTGGACTTGTGTATTGGGACGGAATGGTGGGGAACAGTGGGAAGAATGGGTGTCGGATCTATTGTGGAGTACAGGGCCGAAGAAAAACTCGCGGGACTCGTTACTACCCAGCACTCTTGAAGCCAACTGATCATTCAGTCATCGGGAGCAACCATCCAGATATTGATGTGTTCAAAATTCCGCTCGGAGGATCTGATGACTACGAAACTAACTTAAAACGCCTCATTACTTCTCCAAATCAACGTCAGTTCGACCTCAGGAAAACGGAGACAGGTATAACAAAGCCCCCTCTAATCCTTGGCCTAAGTCCTTCACGCAGTCTTGGAGTCCCATTCTGCATGACGACGGACATCATGCACCTCGCAGCAAATCTTAGCGATCTCTTACTGAGTCTCTGGCGCGGAACTTTAGACTGCGGACCATCAGACAATGTCGAAACTTGGGACTGGGCTGTCTTTAGAGACGAGGGTACCTGGACTATACATGGAGCAGCAGTTGAGAACGCCGGACCCTACCTTCCCACTTCATTTGATCGCAAGCCTCGTAATATTTCTGAGAAGCTTAACACTGGCTATAAAACATGGGAATTTCAACTGTACATGTTTGGCCTCGCACCTGCACTACTCTACGACATTCTACCCCGGAAATACTGGTCTAACTACTGCCAACTCGTCCGTGGATTCCAGCTGATGTGTCAATATCGCATCACAGCCCAGGAACTTGTCCATGCCCAAGCACTTTTATGCTGCTGGGAGCGGGACTTTGAACTCTTGTATTATCGTCGCCGAGAAGATCGCATCCACTTCATTCGTCCATGTGTCCATCAAACCAACCACCTCGTCTCAGAAACAGTGCGGAAAGGCCCATCAATATGCTATGCACAGTGGACTATGGAACGAACGATTGGAAATTTGGGTCAAGAAATTCGTCAGCCCTCGAATCCTTTCGCAAACCTCTCACAAGAAGGAGTTCGACGCTGCCGCATTAATACCCTTCTCTCCATAATGCCTGAGCTCGACAATTCACACCAAGGCCTTCCGAATGGTTCCGTTGATTTAGGAGATGGGTATGTGCTTCTTCGCAAACGAGAACGATATGCGAAACTCCCAGACGGTGCAGATGCACAAGCAATCGCCAATTTTCTTGGTGCTCGTCGCATGCTTCCTCGCATCAAGAAATGGGCCCGACTTTTGTTACCCAATAAGCAGGTTGCTCGCTCAGCTTGGAGAGAGACCACCAAAGCGCGTGAGCAAGTGCGAATGTCACGCAATGTGAAGGTTTGTTTGTTTTATTAAAACATCTTCTACATGCTAACTCGTTATAGTTTAAAGTTGCTGGACAGTTTCAATTCGGTGAAGTGCAATATTTTACCAGGCTCGCAGTCGAAGTGGATGATGCCAATGAAGATAGTGACGATGAAGACAACTGGCATTTTTTGGACATCGCTGTGATCCAAATGTATTCACTCCCTGACGAAGCTCTCCTGCAACTTTCTTCCCAGACGGTCGCTTCCTGTACCCACTCTGAGCAAGTCTTGGCTATTGATGTCAAGGATATTGTCAGCGTGATCGCCATGGTTCCACACAAACCAACACTTCCATCGGGGCTTACAGAGGAGCGTTTTTTTATGATTGAAAAGCCGGGCTTAGATGTATCTGATCTTGGAGTTCGCTACAGTGCATATCATGATGAGGACGACGAGGACAATGCTGATGATGCCAGAATCGAGTAGACATTATTTCTAAAGCTCGTAGTTACAGTTATTATAGTTCAATGATTTTTTCTATTGCTACATATGAGGAATGCGAGAGTTCGAGTGGATCTGAGTGCACAACAGCAAGACAACATGAGAGCAATCTGACAGCAAGAGGACAGAGGACGCGAGAACAAAAGACGAATTAGAAATAGTGGGGCATCCCAAAAATTTGAAGGATGTCATCTGCTTCTCTTCTGGCGACTGCGGCAGCAACATCCGAGTTTGTAAGTTGGCGGACCCAGTAGCACCAAGGCTTGTCAGTACGATTAGGATTGGCTGGATTGTTGCAGCGCAGTGAGAGTAGACGACATGGAGACACTGTACAAGCACTATAAATGAACAAGTTAGATTACAATACAGACAAATATTGTACTTACATTGCCGGAAGAAGTTCAGGAAGGTCCTCCTCGACCTTAATTGTCAGATCTTCCTCAGGCTCGGTTTTGATGTTCTCCTCCTCAGACTTAACCACTGGCATCATGTCTTCATCCGGCTTCGATCCCTCATTGCGACGAAGGTCTTTGAAGCGAAAAACAACTCTCTATACAATTATATATGTGGGATCAGCAAATAAGCACAAAAAAACACGCACCTTTCGTCCAGGAGATTCCATGTCTAAAGACAAGACATAAGTAGCCCACGACGCGTCTAAACCATCGATCTCGACAACAACAACATCCCCGAGCATCGTGACGTTGGATGAGCTAATGATAGTTGGGGAAGACATCGATGTGTGGTAAGTCGTGAAATGAAAGGTACCGTGTCGAGACCGAGACAAGTTTCTCAATTCGGTATTTTCCATCGGAGACAGAATATTGAATACAGACGACTCAATGAGTCTTGCTTGTAGTTTATATCGAGCCAGTCTGTCCTATCACTAACTTTATAATTCTTACAGTTCTAGTATGTTCAGTATGGCTGGCGAGGGAGGCTCTAGCCTCTGGAACAACAGTGCATTTTCAGGGTCTTATACGCCTTCTCCTGGACCCTCCTTGGCAAATATGACGTCACCCGAGGCAGATTCATTCTCACCACCCCCAGCGCAAGTCCCACAGCCTCAATTCAGCTTGTTTCAGCAGGTGAGTCACTTGCTACTGTTTCTATTAACTTACTGTATGTTTTAGGGTGCATATATGCACGAAAACCAAGCCTTGCGAGAGCGTTGTGGAATCTTGGAAGCACAGGTCACCAAACTCTCCATTGAACGTGATACTATACAGTAAGATTTTGTATGTACTTCATGTGCATTCTCTAATGTAATGATAGGGCAATGTTTCACCAGCTCGCCTCTTCTGTGCGCCTTGATGAAGCTGTGGAGTCTCTCGGCTCCAAAGGCACACACCTATCACTGGCAGCACCCTGCACCAGTAACACCAAACGTCCGACTCGTGAGACACATCCCAAGGTCAAATTTTGGAACCAGGACGCATTCTTGGATTGGGCAGAACGAGCTAGCGCGCAAGGGCTTCATCGCGGGAAAATTCCTTACCTTGAAGGTGAAAACGGAGAACTGGTCCCTGAAGCAACAGTCAAAGCTATTCGCAAGACCCTGCGTGGAGGATGGTCAGAACTTGTAAATCGCCAGCTTGCTCCGAAGTCGTGGGGCAAGTTGTCGTCGACGGGAAACCAATTCATTCATTCACTCATGGAAAAATCGTACCCACTGTTTACTCTCGCTAACAACGGATGGAAACTAGATTATCTGTGCAAGTCGTCTTACTCCGCATGGCGAAGGAACCACCTTGATGACAACGGCAACTGGAAATCAAGGAAGGATGGCAATGACGACAGTGATGACGACAGCGACGATGGAGACTCCTCGGACGCAAAAGGTAAGAAGCGCAAGAAAGTGAAGCGCTCAAAGTCCGAGGTCCCAGAAAAGAAACTCAAATGTAGGTTCTCACTTGAGTTGCTTTACCCTACTAACAATACCATACTGTAGTTACTCCGGATGTGTCGATTCCCCCTTCTTTGCCTCCAACTCCTTCGATACCACCAGCAGTACTTCCTTCCCCAGTGCTATCACCATCTCTGGATCTTTTGGACTCGGAGAGTGCAAGCATTCCCACTACCGACGGCGACACTGCAGAGCCTTCTCATACCATCATCGAAGAGTCTCTGGAGAGTGCGAGTGTCACTCCTACTATTGTTATTGCAGAGCCTTCCCATCCCATCGAAGAGTCCGAATCTCCCACTACTCTTCCAAGCCCTATCACCGTGTCATCTCATCCTGCCGGCGATCCGCTTGAGGAAAAGGAAAATATACCACCACCACAGCCACCTACCGCTACACCTGCACCAATCAAAATCACTGTATCCAATCCCATGTTGGTTGTACGTTGCTTTTATTTGTTGGCGTTACTTACTTTCTTTAGCTCGTTGCTCGCGCTGGCTGCCGCTGGCGTGAAAATTCCTCTGCTGCCTTCCGATTCTGTACCTATGCAAGCACCTATTGTTCCAACCGAAAAAGTGTCTGTCCCATCCGACGGAGCCAACTCCAACCTCCAGAAAGGCAAAGCAGCCAAGGCAGGAAGCAAGAGCTCGAAAATGCGCCCGAGCCCTACTAAGAATGGACGGTACGTGTTTTTTTCTCAGACTTTCCCTTTACTAATGGGTTGCAGTAATCTATGCGCTCTTCGTTGGCTGAAGCAAATCAAAATTGGCGGGACGACGGAGGAATTTTGTGCTTATTATGGGGATCTGACACTAGAGCAACGAAAGGCAAGTGATATAATCTCTTGTATTTGAGTTGATTCATTCACACTGGCCGGTAGGGATACGACGAGGAAGCAGCTGCACTCGTAAGTCCTTGATTCTCTCGATGGACCTTCTAAATCGTCGTCTACTAGGTCGCTACCGATACATGGACCAAAGCTGTCTCCGAAGGACGACTTTATTAGATTCAGCACCATCCGATCCTGCACCATCCGACATACGCATTTCCTACAACGTTTTCGAGTGTTTTCGAGCCGTTTCGAGCCGCTGTCTGCACGCGTCGTGTTTTCCAAGCCGCTATCTGTGTTTTGAGCTTTTTTGTACCACCTTTTGTACCCCCCATTGCTACAGTGCCTAATATTATTCGAGCATATTTGCGCACATTTTCAACTGTCTGGCAAGGGATGCGAGTATATGCATTCAAATGCGCAAATATGTTTTACATTGAAAAAAGCACCTATGTGCATGAGGAAACCCGCCCCCGCATATATTGAAATATGCGGATTCGCTCACTACGTGTCTTATAATGTTCTCATATGTTTTTCTATCGAGCTGCTGACAAAATCACTTATCGTCACACCACGACTCCTCCCGTCATAGTCAGTTTTCACTGGGTATCATAGCCTATATGCTGTGAAGTTGTACGTCTCCGAGTCTTACCCTGATACACGCATTGCCTTTTCCCTGAATTGCGTAGGTAATGAGCGCTCAGGCCCAGTGAAAACTGACTATGACGGGAGGAGTCGTGGTGTGACGATAAGTGATTTTGTCAGCAGCTCGATAGAAAAACATATGAGAACATTATAAGACACGTAGTGAGCGAATCCGCATATTTCAATATATGCGGGGGCGGGTTTCCTCATGCACATAGGTGCTTTTTTCAATGTAAAACATATTTGCGCATTTGAATGCATATACTCGCATCCCTTGCCAGACAGTTGAAAATGTGCGCAAATATGCTCGAATAATATTAGGCACTGTAGCAATGGGGGGTACAAAAGGTGGTACAAAAAAGCTCAAAACACAGATAGCGGCTTGGAAAACACGACGCGTGCAGACAGCGGCTCGAAACGGCTCGAAAACACTCGAAAACGTTGTAGGAAATGCGTATGTCGGATGGTGCAGGATCGGATGGTGCTGAATCTAATAAAGTCGTCCTTCGGAGACAGCTTTGGTCCATGTATCGGTAGCGACCTAGTAGACGACGATTTAGAAGGTCCATCGAGAGAATCAAGGACTTACGAGTGCAGCTGCTTCCTCGTCGTATCCCTACCGGCCAGTGTGAATGAATCAACTCAAATACAAGAGATTATATCACTTGCCTTTCGTTGCTCTAGTGTCAGATCCCCATAATAAGCACAAAATTCCTCCGTCGTCCCGCCAATTTTGATTTGCTTCAGCCAACGAAGAGCGCATAGATTACTGCAACCCATTAGTAAAGGGAAAGTCTGAGAAAAAAACACGTACCGTCCATTCTTAGTAGGGCTCGGGCGCATTTTCGAGCTCTTGCTTCCTGCCTTGGCTGCTTTGCCTTTCTGGAGGTTGGAGTTGGCTCCGTCGGATGGGACAGACACTTTTTCGGTTGGAACAATAGGTGCTTGCATAGGTACAGAATCGGAAGGCAGCAGAGGAATTTTCACGCCAGCGGCAGCCAGCGCGAGCAACGAGCTAAAGAAAGTAAGTAACGCCAACAAATAAAAGCAACGTACAACCAACATGGGATTGGATACAGTGATTTTGATTGGTGCAGGTGTAGCGGTAGGTGGCTGTGGTGGTGGTATATTTTCCTTTTCCTCAAGCGGATCGCCGGCAGGATGAGATGACACGGTGATAGGGCTTGGAAGAGTAGTGGGAGATTCGGACTCTTCGATGGGATGGGAAGGCTCTGCAATAACAATAGTAGGAGTGACACTCGCACTCTCCAGAGACTCTTCGATGATGGTATGAGAAGGCTCTGCAGTGTCGCCGTCGGTAGTGGGAATGCTTGCACTCTCCGAGTCCAAAAGATCCAGAGATGGTGATAGCACTGGGGAAGGAAGTACTGCTGGTGGTATCGAAGGAGTTGGAGGCAAAGAAGGGGGAATCGACACATCCGGAGTAACTACAGTATGGTATTGTTAGTAGGGTAAAGCAACTCAAGTGAGAACCTACATTTGAGTTTCTTTTCTGGGACCTCGGACTTTGAGCGCTTCACTTTCTTGCGCTTCTTACCTTTTGCGTCCGAGGAGTCTCCATCGTCGCTGTCGTCATCACTGTCGTCA